TAGAATAGAATAGAATAGAATAGAATAGAATAGAATAGAATAGAATAGGAATTCTTTATTGGCCAAGTGTGATTGGACACACAAGGAATTTGTCTTTGGTGCATCTGCTCTCAGTGAACATAAAGGAAAAAATACATTCATCAAGAATCCAACACAGTAATAGTCATAGGTTACTAATAAGCAATGAAATCATAATAGGAAACAAATAAAACAATAAACATTGTAAAGATACAAGCAACACGCTTATAGTCATAAGTGGGAAGAGCTAGGTACTAAGAAGTGTTATTATAATCTAGTAGTAGAGGAATAATAGTAATACAGTCTTAGTAAATAAATTGATTATACACTTTCTTTAATTGGGAGTATTTCCTACTTTTGATTTTTGTGGAATATAATTTGAAATCTCAGTTGATAAATATGTTCTTCTCCATTTCTGTAGAACAATGTATGAATTTAACCCATATTACAACCAGGGTTTAAAATTTAAATCACGTTAATGTGTGAATAAAATATAATTAATAAGATGCATTACACACACCCCTAGTCCTTGACTTACAGCCATTCATTTAGTGACCATTTGAAGTTACAACTACATTGAAAATAATTAACTTACAACTGTTTTTCATGACCATTACAGCATCCTCATGGCCATGTGATCAAAAGTCGGATGCTTGGCAACTGGCATGTATTTATGACAGTTGCAGTGATCACTTTTTGCAACCTTCCGACAAGCAAAATTCACTTAACCACTGTGTTACTAATTTAACAATTGCACTGAACTGTGGCAAGAAAGGTAGTAGAATAGGGTGAAACTCATTTAACAGCCGTCTTGCTTAGCAATCGAAATTTTGGGCTGATTGTGATTTTAATTCGTACCACACTTTTTGAAGAGTTGCATAATATTGACCAGTTCTCCACATGTTATTTTCTTGGGAAAGTTATCAAGCCTTTTGATAAAGGAAAACTTGCCTCGATATATGATTTGTCAGGGATTGTAAAAATCAGTGTAACAAAGCAGCTTTCTACCCTACTGCTGCCTGTCAGCCTTATAAGCCTGACCCTTGGGTGATGTGGAAAAAAGCCAAGCCACGCATTAGTGCACATGCGGTAGATATTAACATGCTTTGACAGAAGGAAAACTTTCATAACGAATTAGAGCTTGATTTGGAGAAGTCCCCAGGGTTGAAATCTGTTTGGAATATCTGAGAAGCTAGTGCTAAAATAATTGAAGCTTAATTTCAGACTGTATTTTTAAATTGCACCAGACCAAGTCTCACTTGTCAAAATTTTTTAAAAGCTCCTGTTAAGATTTTTCTTCAACCCCATGCAAAAGGAAATGTACATAGTAGATATTTGTTTTGGTTAGGTTTGTGGTTTATTAACATAATTACAAAGAAGCAGAGATTGAAGTTTCTTGTTTTATAAATGTTGTGGTTGACAGTTGCCTCCGCAGCTGGTAAATATTCTGTTCTCAATGCATCCTATACACATCGGAGACCAGACTGTGTGAGAATTTATAGGGTAAAAAGAAGGGTGTAAACTGTGTGTGTGTGTAGGGGAAGATCCCTGATGATCTTCTAAGTAGGACCCAGGCTTATGATTTTCAAGATCAGTGAAAGTTGGCTAAGTCCTATAGCCTTCTGCACTTTAAGATCAATAGTTGAGAATTAAAATTGGCTAGTGCTTTGTTACAATTTATAATAATTGCCTAAATGCTAGCAAATGGTAGGTCAGAATCTATCGATAAGTTTCTGGATGATTTAGAAGTTTCTCATTCCTGTGTGCTTAATAATAATAATAATAGCTGACTATTAGAATTAAGGAAAACGAGAAATGTTTTTGTTTCAAGAAATTAGGAGTTTGGTTCCTGTGTTTGAAACAGATTGCAGGACTGATCACATGTTAAAAAGAAGCAGTTTTGCAGGGATATGTATTGCTGAGTCTGATGTGCCAATCAACCATGAACTTCATACAAAAAACAAAACAGCACTCATAATTTACCACTGAGCTTAGATATCTAACTTAAATGATAGTTACATTAATCTCATAATCACCTCCATCAAGATAAATTTTTCATACAGAATTTTACCTTTTTGCTTGTGTGTGTGTGTGTGTGTGTGTGTGCATGTATACATACATATACACACCCACCCACACCCACACCCATACATATATATATGAACTATATGTACATATATTTATCTTTTACAGGTAATAAGCCTTGATGGAACCATGAGAAAAACACTCATAGAAGATAAACTTCCTCATATATTTGGATTTACTTTACTTGGTGAATATATCTACTGGACAGATTGGCAGAGGCGAAGTATTGAAAGGGTTCACAAGAAGGCAGCAAGTCGAGACATTATCATTGATCAGTTGCCGGACTTGATGGGTCTTAAAGCAACAAGTGTCACCAGAGCAGAGGGTAAGTGAGGGCATTGCCCAATGGTTTGGACCATGCTCCACTGCACATGTTTGCAGTGAAAACAATAACGAGTTTCTTGGAGGAGTTGCTTAATAGGAAGTGTAACCAGCATTAAGATTAACTATAAAAATTGGGATCCTTCTTGCAGATTCACTCTCTGATAGGTAAAGGGGTATGTGAACTTGCATGCCAGTTGTTCTCGGTGGTCTCTTTCTTATTTGGTGAAATAACTTTGAACCCATTGGTTGGTGAGTAGGAGAGTGGCCGGTCTCCTCTTCAGTCAGTTACGTGCTCCTGTTGAACCTGGGTTGCACCTGAATGTTATTTCACCTGCCAAGAGTATTTCTTGACAGTGATGTGGGGAAAGGAATAACCAATGGACTCAGGGCCTTGTGTGTGAGATTTGGATATTTTGTTGAAGGGGCACAATTATTGGCATGATCATCCTCTTTCATCTTTGCAGTGTATCCATTCTCTAAGGGACTGGGGAACTCCAAAATAGTTGGAGAAATGTTGTACGGGGAATGTAGCCACCTGGTTTGTTAAGGTCTTTGAATAGTGCTGATGTATTTCTATTTTGTTTCTTTTTCATGCTACCTAGGTCATTTTATGAGGTAAACATGAATAATTTATCATGTATTCTTACAAATGAGAAATAAGTATGATTATAGGGATGCATCAGTTGGGCTACAAAATATAAAAGACACACATTATTAGCTACCAATCCCATTAATGTTGTTTTGACCTATGTTTATATCCAGAGAAGCTTTTAGCTTTTAGATATATAAAGAGAGCAGCCATTAATATTCTTCATGTCTGCAGATAGAAGGATCACACTGAAAATAATTGTATCTTTTACACATATATTTACACACAGTTTGTGTGTGTGTGTGTGTGTGTGTGAGAGAGAGAGAGAGAGAGAGAGAGAGAGAATATATAAACATGAAAGCTTGGCTCCTGATTTATGTGTCTGTGCATCCATTACGTTTCCCTAATTGTGGCTTTAAATATATTTCTATACCTTAATTCATCTCACAGTGTTCTCTAAGATTCACTCATGCTTTTTAAAATTTCCTCATAGCAACGTTTAACCATACTGACTCAGGGAACATTTTCTAGAAATGTTTATTAGCTGCTATTCCCAGACAACAAACATCTGGGATGAGCTGAAGTTTGTGATATAAGCTACAAGACAAAATTTATTACTCGGACATGGAGAACACTTAGAACTCTACACAGGTTTTAACACCTAAGTGCACAAAGAAATTCATGATATTCCAAAAGTTTACTGTGAAAAGAAGGAATGTTTTATTCTTTCATTAATGTTAAATGGAACTTTGCCATAAAAATCAATTACGTTTAATTGAAATTTTGTGATTATTGTAAATAATCTTTGCTTTGAAACTGCAACAATAACAGCCATTATCATAATGCCAAATTATTAGCTATATAAAGATACATTTTCACTCAATCCCATGAAATCTTTTGAGTTTCACACATTTTTACACTCCAAAGTATGTGTAGAGAGTTACACAAGCAGCTAGCATCTGTTCATCATCCAGATGCTGAATGGTTATTACCACTGCTTGTCATATCTTACTGAGTCATATTTGCTGCTTATTGGAAATCTATATAGATTTAATTTCAGAAATTGGTTTACTACCTTTGTCGTATTTGGAATTACCATGTTCACAAAGTGGGCCAATAATTATTACTGCATTTTTCAGGCTATAAGATGCACTCCCCTCCCCTCCCCCCCCAAAAAAGTGGGTGGAAATGTCTGTGTGTCTTATAGAGCGAATGTTGCCGAAACCCTGCCCACCCACCGGCCCCCACCCTTCAGCCTCTGCTTCCCAGCAATTTGCCTCCTTGCAGCAAACAGCCTGGTCAGCTTTAGCATAGCCTGATTTAGCACAAACAGCTGATTGGCAGTTGGATCAGCCTCCCAGAATACCACCCATTTGCTGTTCCAGGCCGCAGGGATCACTGCTGCCCATCGCCGCTGCCTATCGCTGCCTCCTTGTGCCCCAATTTTTGGCCTCCACGCACCACGTTTTAAGCCTCCACATGTCCCATTTTCAGCCTCTGCACGTCCCATTTTTGTCCTGTTCCATGCACAGATGCAGCGATAGGCGGCAGCAATCCTTGCAGCCTGAAACAGCTGATTGTCGGTATTCCAGGAGGCCGATCCAACCGCCAGTCAGCTGCTCGTGCTAAATCAGGCTGTGCTGAAGCTGAACAGGCTGTTTGCTGCAGGGAAGGCAAATTGCTGGGAGGCAGAGGCAGATTTTTTCCCCCTTGTTTTCCTCCTCTAAAGCTAATGTGTGTCTTATAGTCCGGAGCATCTTATGGTCCGAAAAATACGGTAATTATACTTTTGATGCAAAAAGTATGTTGGGCTGTTGGGAAAGTTATAGGAGGGTCTATTTGGTCATCTAGTTAGACTGCAATGAATAGGTCCAGCTAGAAACAGAAATTTACTTATTATCTAACGGAAAACTGAAAATGGTTGCATGTGATATATAGTATATCCCCACTGCTTCTTAGTGATGTTGGTTGGGTTTGGATATTGTGTTGAACCTTAACTGATACCAGTAGTTATGGACATATTTTTCCATATTAAAAATGCATATTAATTCAACAAACTGTTAATGTTGTCAATATTGGAGATAAGGAACTGAGATTATAATGCACTGATACTGTAAGGGATATCTGGTGAATTTTAATTTCATTATAGTGAATTTTCAGCCCAGGACTTCCAAATCTTCTTGAAGATTGACATAAATAATAAATGGAGGAAAGTTTTTAACCCAGTTTCCTTCAGTTAGACAATTCTAGAAGACATGGGGCAGAGTTTATCTTGAGTCGTTTTAAACATAGAAGGGTCTATACTTTAAGACCCAAAGCCTGTCCTAGCCAAGCTTTTCTTTTCCTTCAGAGAACTGTTTTTCTTTTTAGGGACAAATCCATGTGCTGAGAATAATGGCGGCTGCAGCCACCTGTGCTTCTTCACACCCCAGGAGTGCAGGTGTGCCTGTCCAATTGGACTGGAGTTACTTAGTGATATGAGGACCTGCATCATCCCAGAAGCTTTCCTTGTCTTCACCAGCAGGGCAGCTGTTCATAGGATTTCTCTCGGAGCCAGCAACAACGATGTTGCCATTCCTCTTACGGGTGTGAAAGAAGCTTCTGCTCTAGATTTTGATGTATCTGACAACAGAATCTACTGGACAGATATTAGCTTAAAGGTATTCATGGTATCTTAACTGAAAAGTTTGCTTTGTTAACCAATCTGTTGTAATAGATTCCTTCCAGAACAATTTTGGTTCTAAATATTTTGTTGTTTAAATCTTAAAAAATAAAACACATCCTTGAGGGAGCCCTGTCTTGTATAATATTTTGCACTCAGCCATAAATTGTTTAAATTCTTTTGTATTCTGAAATTCCTGTCATTTTTTTAAATGGTTTTGCAGACAATAAGCCGGGCCTTTATGAATGGAAGTGGACTCGAACATGTGATTGAGTTTGGGTTAGATTACCCTGAAGGCATGGCTGTAGATTGGATGGGAAAGAATCTGTATTGGGCAGATACTGGAACCAATAGGATTGAAGTGGCCCGGTTGGATGGGCTATTCCGGCAAGTTCTTGTGTGGAAAGATTTGGACAATCCAAGGTCATTGGCTCTTGATCCATCAAAAGGGTAAGGAAAAAAAATCTCAAACCTAAAATCAAGTGTTTTATTATTGCTTATTAGTTTGATTGCAAATGTGTCCCCCAAATTATGCACTTAAAATACAGTCTCAGAGTTTATAACATTGCAACTTTTCTGTCCTGCTCTGATTTCCATTTCTATTGCGGTGGAGTATAGGGCTGGGGTTCCTCCTTGTACCTGATTTTGAACTTAGTGCCCAATTTTGGTGCAGAAGGGAAGACTTAATCTATTACTGTGGTATGTGTATTAAGCAGTGCAAACATTTTAATTTGATTTTCTCTCAGCCAAAACACCCAAGGTTGTAAATGTAAGGATTGGTTGCAAAGCTGTTTTCTTTACATTGTCATAACTTTGAACAGCCACTAAATAAGATAGTAAGTGAGAACCAGCTGTATAGAAAGGACAAATAACAGCTCCTGTGGGTGAACTGTTCTTAATGGAGAACATTCATTGTGAGTTATGTAGCCAGTGGGGAGATCATGCTTCTGCTTCTCTTGCATGGTTGTAAAGTAGGGGTGGGCAAATGCACTCTACAATATGCATATATTCCAAAAAACAGTTTTTTTATATTTGGCCCTTTTTGCAACTTTGAGGTTTGGGTTATTTTAAGGGTTGCAGTGGATACAATAAACCTTAGCTTAGAGACACCATTTTCTCACCTTAAAAGTCCTAGTATCCAAATGGGTGACTGTCCCCCAAAAGACTCATGCCACTCAGAATCCCTGGGAGACCCATGCCTCCCCCCAAATAAAATCCCAACATCTGTAAGACATTGTTTTAAAATATAGAAGAATTTTTTTTTTCATTTCTGAGAAATCATAAGGCAACCTGCAAGCCAAGCAATTGCTCTGATATAAATTAAATATTGAATCATTCCAATTTTTGTTTCACTCATTACAGGTATATGTACTGGACAGAGTGGGGAGGAAAACCCAAAATTGTTCGAGCATACATGGATGGAACAAATAGCATCATGCTGGTGGATAAGGTGGGACGTGCCAACGACCTTACCATTGATTACAAGGATCAAAGACTTTATTGGACTGATCTGGACACAAGCATGATTGAGTCATCCAATATGCTAGGTAATTTGCCAATATCTGGAAAATAGTAGATGTGGTATACAAATAAGTAAAGAAGGCTATGGGTGGTATGTCATGCTGAAGAAAGATCCTGAATTTATTTATTTTGATCTTTAAGACAAAGGAACTGAAACAGATCCATTGATCACATGGGAGCACAGTATAGCAGCCTTTTTGTTTAAGTAGCCTCCAAAACATGGTCTTATGCAAAGTTCTGAATAGAATTTCTCATTCCTTGTAATTTGTTCCAAAACTTTGGAAGAGTCATTTGGAAGCAACAACAAACCAGAGTGTATTACCAAAAATAGTTGAAAAGTTTTATAGTCCCGGTGTCCAAATTATGAATGTGAACAATAAAATGGACCAAAACATCTCTTTGGCATGTTTCCCATCCCTTGCTTCAGAAGAGCTGGTTGTATTAGGAGCCTGAGGTCTCTTCCAGTATGAATTAATACTCTGAATCCTCCTATAATTACCAACTTGTGTAGGGAGGGAGGGAGGGAGGGGCTGTAATTAACAAACACCAAAACAAATAAACATGTACAGATATATTAGTTGGGTCACACATGGTTACAGATGTAGCATCTATGGTGCTAAGGAGCATCTTAAAATAGTTCGTATCTTTTCTTAGGTTTGTGCAGTTGCTTTTCTGCAGCTGACACGAGATACTGATTGCTTAGTTAAAGATGCTCCTAAAAGGTGCCCAGTGTATGCCCATCTATTGTCCTTCAAATTTGGATTTCTGCACAGGCCTAATGCATATGTGGATATATATGTACCATGCACCAGTACATACCTATCACACTATTGTTTTAGACATTATGCCCTTACAGTCAGCAGGGAATGGATATAGCCTGACTGTACTTATATGTCGTGAGCTTGTCTAGCATTCCTTTTTTTTCTTTTTTCTTTTACTAAAAAGTATCACGAGAAAGTCTTTCACCAACAGTTCATGTTTTCTAGAAGTGTAGATAAGATTTAGTTCAAACATTGGTGACAATAATGGCAGCAATCACATATATCATGCTAATGATCTGTTTGGAAAGGCATGGGAAAATACACACTTTTAAGGAATTGCATGCCCCAAAGCACTGATAAGAATCAAATCTGAAGCAGTGCACAGCTCTTATTTTTTTATCTTTAATGTACCATCATATACTTTCCTTGATAAAGCTTTGCAGCAGAAAATAGTATTTAACTGAGAGTTTGCTCCTATGATAGGACTTTCTTTAAGTGAAGTAAAGGTACTTCCCAAACTGTATCGTTTCATTTCTGGTTCTTTATAGAATTAAAGCTATTATCAATGATAGCTTTGTTTCTTAGCTGCCATATATATTAAAGTTTGAACTATATTGTAATTGTTCTTAACTGTTTTTATGATTGTCAGCCATTCATTAGTCTAAGATGAATAATTATAGAAAATGAATGAATGATCATGAGAACATCCTATATTCCATTTTTTAAAATGGTCTGAGACTATAAATAAAATTAATGAAGGTATTGTCTTTGACCATGGGGTCTCATAATTGTCCAGGGCAATTTTTTTCAATGTACTCTGATAGGCAGTTCTGCTTGAAATGCTTCTTTCAAAAATGGGAAAGGAATAGCAAATGGCAGAGATAGATTATTAATAAATTATTTATGGATAATTAAACATTCCTAGTAAAAATTTGAGTTAATTTGCCCAACATTAATCTTTTGGCTACCATGGTTTGAATCTTTGTATTGATTAACAGCATATGGGTTGTTTCTTTCAGGGCAAGAGAGGGAAATAATAGCAGATGATCTACCTCACCCCTTTGGGCTAACTCAGTACAGTGATTTCATCTACTGGACAGATTGGAACCTCCACAGTATAGAAAGAGCTGACAAAACAAATGGGAGGAATCGAACAATTATTCAGAATCGTCTGGACTTTGTGATGGATATATTAGTTTTCCATTCATCACGACAGGATGGTTTCAACGAGTGTGCGCAAAATAATGGGCACTGTGGGCAGTTGTGCCTGGCCATACCCAATGGCTATAGATGTGGCTGTGCATCTCACTACACCTTGGATCCCAAGACCCGCAACTGCAGTTGTATGTATTTTTTTGCAGCTCTCTAAATATTTTCAGTTCTCCACCAATCCCAACTTGGTATTCTCTGAATAGGTTAGATTACAATTCTCATCATGGACGTGCTGGTTGAGTTCATGAAAGTTATACTTTCAACACTTCCAGGAAGATAACATTTTTGCATCTGTAGCCTATCTGTGTGGGAAGGACAGACAGCTGGAACAGACTAGGAGTGATTCACAGCTATTCTTGCCAGAAGTCGAGTAGCAGCTAAAGAACATAGTGTTCTTGGGAGTGTGCACTCGCTCTTCTTCTGTTAGTTTTAGGCCTTCCTCCATCAAAATAGAGTTCTGGTTCCAGTAAGCCCAGGGTAGAATGGGAGGAATGTAAAGGATTCTGCAACAGAACTTTAAAGATGAGAGGTTTCACAAAGGAACCGCATAGTTCCTGTTCCAGGGCATCTTGCCAGCCCATTTGTTTCTGATACCTGAAACCTGGTGAGTGGGTTTTTTTTCATCCTGCAACCCTCCAGATGAAAAGAAAGGGCTAATTCTTTTCTCCTGGCATTGGAGCAATTTTGTCATGTTGCTGAGTCCAGGGTTGAGCCTAGTGGGTGGCAATGAAAAGGAGTAAAAATGAGTAGTGTTAAAAATGAAACTTGAATATTTTTTTTTACTAAATCCACATGCCCTAGCACACTAGTTACTTATGGCTGTAAATATATAGATGTCTGCATCTCTCCCGATAAATGCCTTAATTTTCATTTATACAAAAATCATTATCTTGTTTTCCACCAGAAGAGAAATTCAGATATCGGTTAACAAACAACACAAAAACTAAAATTAACAATAAATCTATTATTAAAGCAACTGGATAAAGCTCAGCACAATTCTGGATTCAAAACAGTATTGGAAAATAAGCATAAAGAGTGATTGCCAACATTTGTCCATTTCAGAGTTTTCCAAAAACCTGCCTTTGTGATTTAAAGTAACACCAGCTTTGCTTCGGGAAGGAGGAAGGGAGAGGGAAAATTCGGTTAAAAATATTAAATGAAAGGAATTCTAAATTCATTTTTAAAGGATCTAAATTGATGCAAAGAAATGATTTTAAAGGTGGTGTTGATGCAAGTAATAATGGTAGGATTCAATATTGCTTGGGATAGTGCTTGTCAGTAAGAGAAGTATTATTTAATGTTATTATTCAACACTGAAAATAAGCTGAGCATTTTGCAGAAAACATCAGCAGCATTTACTTCCTATGTAGTTGGCTTGAATGGCAAGTTGACATTTGCTGAGCCCTTTCTTTTAACGGAACGCAGTGCTGGCCCAGCATTCCTTGGGTGGACTGCTGCTTCTTGCTGTCATTCTTTATGCATCTGTCCCTTCTATGCAAGTAAGCATTGAGAGAGGTGGGAGCCTCTCTTATAATTTGGGAATAGCTGGATTCACCGACATGCATATGGCAGCAGCAATGAAGAACATAAAGACGTAGAATAACAAAGTTGGAAGGGACCTTGGAGGTCTTCTAGTCCAATCCCCTGCGTGAGCAGGAAACTGTATACCATTCTAGAGTGATGGTTGTCCAATTTCTTCTTGAAAACCTCCAATGATGGAGTATCCACCGTTTCTGGAGGCAAGACATTCTACTGATAAATTGTTCTCATTGTTAGGAAATTTCTCCTTAGTTCTAGTTTGGATCTTTCTTTAATGATTCAGATTCAACAAATGAGGTTGGTAGAAGTTCAAATTAGTAGAACATCCTACCCAAGAGGGCCTCTAAAAAAACCTGGATCTGGCATTGCATAAATCAAAAGAAGATCTCTGGGAAAGTGAGGCAGACCAGTCTTCTAAATTAAACTTGCATGGGTTAGGCTTTCATGCATTCCTTCCTGGACTGGACTGAAGATCACAGATGTCATTTTATCCCAAGTCTGGTCATGTGAAATGTATTGGACTTTTTGGCAAATAATTCTGCTGTGTTCTTTGAAAATGGGATTGAAATCATGTCCCTCTGTGATCAATAACAGCAATAGCAAAAATATAGACATGGAAGGATTATACTTAGATATTTTTGCAAATGTGTATTTACTTTCCAAAAGAATTTTACCAATATTGTTACTTGGATTGTGTTCTCTACTTTTAGCACCCAGTAGCTTTTTACTATTCAGTCAGAGGTCTGCAATAAGTCGGATGATACCAGATGATCAGCAGAGTCCAGACCTCATTCTTCCCATCCATGGCCTAAGAAATGTTAAAGCCATTGATTATGATCCACTCGATGCATTTATCTACTGGGTAGATGGACGCCAAAACATAATTAAAAGAGCAAAAGATGACGGCAGTCAGGCAAGTATTTTTATCTTGTAAACGTGCCTAAACTGGTAACAGTATGCTTTATGGATGGTTTCTGCAAGCTGGTCCTGCAGTGTCCTCCCAAAAGAAGACTTCCTTTACAGCATTTAAACTGAAAAGAAGCAAAAAAAACAAAACCCACCTTGCTATCTTAGGGGGGGGTTGAGAAGTAAACACTTAAATGTTTTTCCTCTTCTACCCTAAAAGTTTTCTTGCTGTAATTAGAAGGCTGCTAATTCCAAACTAGGACATTTCTGAAGAAGTAAAAATGAAAAAAGGACCCTCTTCAATCAAAGCACCTTCTATTTATACTGTCATATTTTAGGCTGTTGCTGTTGGGGCCCCTTTATTATTTCTTTCTTGGCAAGCTGCAGTAAAGTTCTTTTTCTATGGAAAATACTTGAATTTTCAATGTGCAATTTCTTTCTTATACATCCAAGAATGCATTTTCACTAGTTTATGTTCTGTGAAAATGAGAAGGTAGGGAGGAAATAGGAAAGGACCAACTGGGCTAATCTGATAAATTTTTATGTAGTATTTTCTACAAGATAATGAAATCTTGTTTGTTCCAAAGAGGGGCCCTCTAGTGTCAGGCCTGCTCTTTGAAGAATATTTGCTAGGTGTTAATTGCTGAATTGTTTCCCATTAGTACTCTTCTTAGGTGCAAATTACGTTGGTGACTTATTGTTACAATGCAGTCTGTTGTTCTGTAGAAGCAAAAGAGTTTCACTGTTTGAAGAATATCTCCTCACTACATTTTTAGTATCCAGACTTGCAGATTTGTAGTGATATTGATGATTGGGGTACTTCATATTCAGTCTTTGTTAATTAGTGGTTTTGAATATTAATATTAATAATCAGATACTTCTCAGTTGTTGTTTTTCCTGAAATCATGCAGAAAAAAGCAAGCTTGCGGCTTGGTAACTGCATGAACTTCTAGCTTTCTTTACAGTAATACATAAATAGCTAAGTACCATTAAAAAAAGGTAAAAGGAGAAAAGAGAAAAAATGGTAAAAAAGAAAAGAATGTGTAGGGGAATTACTTTCACCTTCATAAAGACAAGTACAAACAATTTTAACAACTTACCAGGAACAACACCACATATATTGTAACATTGATCAAATAAGCCAACTTTATATTCCTTTGCTTTGCTTTTAAGACTCTTGACCTGTAATCCATTTAAATAGTGTCCAAAATATTTTTTTTATTTCCCCTTTGTTCTCAGAAACTTCTTTAATAAGTTTAAAATGTTATTTTTTTTTGTAAATCCAAGATAAGGCAGTTATCCAAATCATTCTTCTGATTTGTTATCAGTATGTCCCTTTTGATTATTATTTAATTATTACTTATATTATTAATTATATAAACATTTGTATTACATATTTTCCATATCAGTCTTGTGACATGTCATTTTTAATTCTACATTCAAATACACATTCAAAATAGCTGTCAGTTCTTTTCTATCACCTCCTTTAAATCCATTTTAAAAGTAGTTTAAAGTAGTTTTAGTATTTTTAAAGTTAAAAGTACAGGAAGTTTTAAAAATAAATTGTGAATGTATTAGCTCTTGCCTTAAATGTTTCAGTTCTTTCTTTTAACAATTTGATTGTTTCATTCCCTCAGTAAGCAGGAATTTTTAATACATATGCACACAAAAACAGCTACCTATTTTAGAAAGTGGAGGATTTGTTGCTCAGAAGGAATAATTCATCTCAAAGTCTGGTAAAATATTAAGCGCAGAAAAAGCAAGCTATGATTTTTTGTCTACGTCTTTGTGAATTATTGTCTTTACTGAATTGGTCATCCGAAGTTGCAATCTAGTAACTGCTTACTTAGGGTTACTTAAAAGTAATTGAGCTCAGTGGGATTGTTACATGGAATTGCATAAAATCACATTCTTAGATATTTTTTCTCTAACTTTAATTATTATTTGGTTTTAAACAAAATTTTCATATACTGTGACATCAAATAATCTTATCTAATTTGTTCTTGTTTTTCTTTTCCTTGTAGCCTTTCACAGTCATGAATATTCGCAACCAAAGCCAAAATCCAGAAAAGCAGCCACATGACCTGAGCATTGATATTTTCAGCCATACTTTGTATTGGACCTGTGAAGCTACAAATACAATCAATGTCCACAGAATTAATGGGGAGCAGATTGGAGTTGTCTTACGGGGAGATCATGACAAGCCCAGGGCCATAGTCGTAAATGCAGAACGAGGGTAAGAATACTCTCAAGTTCTAAGAAATCATATTGCATTGAATGTTGCAAAGTGTTCCATGGAGGTTGCCCATGCTACATTATAGGATATAGACATTTATTTTGCTTGTTATCTTCTTGGGATACTTTAAAACAATTTCATAGGGCTGCCTGACAGTTTCTTATTGCTAGACCACCAAGACTGTTCTAACCTCCTTTAACTTAATAAACCAAAAGCTACCTAACAGTTCTCTGGGATTAATTAAGCTCTTGTCTCTGGAAATAATGCACTTATTTTTATTGTTGAAACTTTAGAATGTATAATAGGGAAAAATCTTGATAACATATCCATCCACAGAAAGGATTTTTTAAATCTTGAGTTCCTGGAGAAATCATAAAACTAAATAAATATAGATAAATCAGGACAGCAATTTCATCTCTCCCCACACATCTGCCTCAGAGGGTGGTCCTAACCTTCCAGAGCAGTTGTTGTGAGGATATTGGGGCTATGATGGGAAGGGGAAGGATGAGATGTCATGCATACAGGCTTCTAGTCCCAATCCTTTTGGCTTTATTTCACCAACTGTACCATGTCCTTCGGGGGAGTTTGGCTTGGGAGCGCGTGGATGGTATATTTCAAATATCCCTTTTCTAGCTATAAATTTATTTACAAGCAAGAAAGATTTCATAAAATTTCCTGGAATCTCCCTTCAGTACAAAACAAGATCGTAGTTAATCTGCTCTAGAAGCTGAGAAAGGAAGTTCAACCTCAGAAAAGAACTTCAGAAAATGGCAGAGAATATAATTATATACATGATGTTTGTCTGCCAGATATTAAGAAGTCAGTTGTTCTTATATGTTGTCAGGTACATGTATTTCACTAATATGCAAGAGCGAGCTCCAAAGATTGAGCGTGCAGCCTTGGATGGAACAGAACGAGAAGTGCTCTTCACCACTGGTTTGCTTAGACCTGTTGCACTAGTGATTGACAATAAGCTTGGGAAGCTCTTTTGGGTGGATGCTGATCTCAAACGGATTGAAAGTTGTGACCTGTCAGGTGTGTTGCACTCTCTTTTTTGCCTAAAATGTCATGAGTGTCCCTTGTTACCCATGCCAAACATTGGGCCTTTGGGTGAATTGCACAAGCTAGTAACCAGTTCAGTATTCTAGAATGACTCTGTAACTGAATGCTGAATGGATTTTTCTCTAAAATAGAGTTTCTGGGGGTAGACCTATTCTCCTGACTTATTTTCTTTGTAACTTTCCAGCTTTTACTCTTCTTCTTGGTTATAATTAGTTCATTACATTTTTAACTCTCTGCTTCAAGTATCATTACATAATATGAATGTTAGATAGTGATAATTACAATCTTTTCTGATTCCAGAATAAATACTGTTATCATCATCATACTCGTACTTTATATCCAAAACAGGATGTGTCTGTCTCTCTGCCCCCCCCCCCCCCCCCCCCTCTTGTATATAGAGTGTGTGTGTGTGTGTGTGTGTGTGTGTGTGTATCGGACACTTGCTTTTGAAATTGCCTCTGATTGCAATGTTTTAATTGTTTTATTCTGTGTAGTACCCAGAATCCTGGTGGAGGCAGCCAGTCTATACATTAATAGGGCCAGAAGGACTTTAGAAGCCAAGAATATGAATCTATGCTCAGAAAAGGAAGGTTTAACTTATTAATATAATAAAAATTTGGAGTATAGTTGTACTAGAAACAGATGAACACATTTGTATTTTTATGTCAATATAGGCTTTAATAATTCTGCCAAAAGCATTTTTTTAAAACAGAAAAAAGCAAGGATAAAAAGACAACAAAACAAAACCCCTCACACGTAAGGCCCTTTTGGTATAATGAAAAGAAGAAAGATAACTAGGATAAAAGAGAACATTAGCATTATTAAGTAGGCAATATGCATCACATATTATGACTCTTCAGAGTGCTACATTTTGTTTGTTCATTAATTAACATTACAATTCTTGTGCTGCACATAGATTGTCCATTACTGTTTCTGTGTGAAATACAAAATTGGTTATACTTTTAAAGTAGTAGGTTATGTCCTATTTTTTTCCAGGGCATTTTTAATAACTGACAATAGTGTAGTTAATATTTATATCCCATCTTCCCTTTAAGATTTCAGGGTATTGTACAAAGCAGTTTCTCCTTCATTCCTGCCCCCCACCCCCCCTCCCCCAGCTAATTTATCATTTGAAGCAGATTGAGGAAGAGTTTCCGGCTGAAAGTCACCCAGTGAAAGTAGTGGTTGAATAGAACTCTTCTGCTTTAGCCATTGCCTCACCTTGGCTCTTTTGCTTTCTTTGCTTACTTACCTTCTACTGCAATTTAATATGAAGAAGTGGATCATATAAAAGGACAAAAGATTTGGTCTGAAAGTCCCCTCCCCTCTTTCTCAGATTAGAATACTTCATCTCTTCTTCAAATCATGTGAAGGGAGTTGGAGAACAAATGCCCATTTGCTGTGGACTGGCCCTTAATGACAGCAATCTTCTGTCATGAAATGCAAACATTTTTTTTCTGATATGAGGAAAAAGAACATTGTTGGTGTTGTTTTACCTTAAGTTAGTTGTAAACTTCCTCTGTCTCCCCAAGGAAAACTAACTACTATGGAGGAGGTCTGTTTTCAGTTTATCCCTGAACAGATCGATAAAACTGTCAAGATTAATTTTAGCTACCACCAATATAAACTCCATCAGGAGTGGGTGGGCTGTGAGGATTTTTAACATATGAGAAAAATAGGACTTGATACCAAACATTATTTTATTTTTAAGAAAAAATATATTTGATTATTAAGAAAAAATATTTGATTATTAAGAAAAAAAGTTGCTCATAAAATATTTCTCTTATGACACATTAAATATAATTTCACCTGAAAATCACTTCTACAGAAGAAACTACATAACTTGAATATATTCTTCTCTTTCTGGATTTGACGAAACTGGTTGTACTTATTTTCTCATTGGTCTTTTAATGAGGTGTTGTAATCTGTTTTGATATTCACTTTACTCATGTAAGGGCTGTCGAGTGTGGAACATTTACAAAAATCAAGATGCTAATTTTTGCCAAGCAACCATCTAGAGCTATAGTAATTTTTAAAAATCATTATTACTTTTTTTTTTTTGAAACCTTCCTTTAAAAAAAGAAAGAAAAGAAAAATCTGTATTGACAAAAGTTATATTATACTCTCAGGGGCTAACCGGGTCACATTACAAGATTCCAACATTCTCCAGCCAATGGGTTTGACAGTTCTGGGAAATCATCTCTACTGGATTGATCGGCAGCAGCAGATGATAGAAAGAGTGGAGAAAACCAATGGATACAAGAGGACCAGAATACAAGGTCGAATTGCTCACCTAACTGGTATACATGCCATTGAAGATATTGACACGGAGGAATTCTGTAAGTTTACTATAATATTAAAATCTTAATTTTCTCCAGCATTATGTTATATTACCCTTTTTTATTCTCAGCTTGCTGCTCAGATTCATGAGTCAGTTCTAACAGGAATTTAAAACTCTGAAGGACAATTTTTATTTGAGTCTACTCTAACATAAAGTTTGGCATTGAATACGCTTGAGGTCTAGGATTAAGTGGACATTTGAACTTTGAAAAGCTTAATCCAAATCCAGATCCTTATCATGGACTTCATGGACCTTGCAATAAAACAAACTCATATTCACCATGTGAATCTAACAATATATTTCATCTAGCTGAGGCATTCTGATTCACTGTTTTTCAAAAGTGAATAGAAATCAAGAAATAGCCATGTCCATTGGAAAAAACAAATAGGCCTCATCAGTGGTGGGCTGTAGCCAGTTTAACAACCAGTTCTGTGATATGGGAGATTATATCTTCTGGTTTCATTGGACAGTCTTGTTTTTTGTTTACTTTTGGTATTAGGTAGTCACTTGTCATGATATGTGGGCTACTCTTTCTGAAAGAAATTGGCTGTTATATGGTAAAATTGATTTCTCATTCCTTCCTTCCTTCCTTGTATATTGCCCACAATCATTATGTTACAACAAAGTCCTAGGAGTCAGAACATACAATAAGAAAGTTAATCCTTTGTCTTTTAATGGTTAAGCAGGTACCTTTTTATAAGAGGCTGTGCACATTTTCCCAGAAGTTAAAAAAGAAAAAGGCTGTTGAGCACACCCACAAAAAATTTGAAAGGGAAGGGATATGTGTTGAAAAATGTCAACCTTTTCTTGTGTATTACAAGTCAGTGATCGTTCAAATGCCATGATGAGTTTTTATAGTAAACTCTGATGGTTTTCTAAGTTTTTCATCAGAATGAACAAGTAGGAAAAAATTGTTACATTTTTCCTTATAAAATTTCCCATCCTTGCTACAAGAATGCACCTTTTTTTTTTTTGGTCTCAGGTAATATTGAGCCGAGTTCTAGAAAGGTTACTAGTTCAGCTTGTATCCTGTGCAGCTTGAATTTTATGCATAGTTATGTAGAAATCATACAGTCTTCAGAGAACATAGAAAAGGAATTCATCTTTTCCATTGTTGATTAAACTCATTCTTCATCAAAGAAGGCAGGTAGTCTATATATCAATTAAATTATTTAATATCAATTAAATAAATTTAAATAGGTCTCAAAGAACTACTCTTTCATGCATATGGGAAACATTTACTTATTACCATTTGTAAATTGTATAGACTAGATTATATTCAGGGAGAAAACAGTATCCTCCCCCTATTCCCCATGTCTAAATGTCACAATTCAAAAGGAAAAGGAGGACAGAGGAAAGAAATAGTTTTTAAAGTTAATACTAATTACCGGTTTGAATGGAAACAGATAGTTTAGAGAAGGGAGGGTATAAAGCTAATTTTAAGTGAATGCCTCATCTAAGCTACTACCTTTCTCTCCACAGTTGTTAAGTGAATCACTACAGTTGATAAGTTAGTAACCAGTTGTTAAGTGAATCTGGTTTCCCCATTGACTTTGCTTGTCAGAAGGTTGCAAAAGGAGATCACCTGACTTTGGGACACAGCAACGGTCATAAATATGAATCAGTTCCCAAGTGTCTGAATTTTGACCACATGATTATGGGGATGCTGTGAAGGTGGCAACTGTGAAAAACAGTCCTAAGTCACTTTTTTCAGTGCTATTGAAACTTTGAATGGTCATTAAATGAACTGCTGTAAGTCGAGCACTACCTGTACTTAAGTAGTAATAGATTTAGGAATTTTTCCTCTATTCTATAAACAACTGCTGTCCTCCTTTTCTTCTGCATGAAGCAAGCCACCCATGTTCCCGAGATAATGGGAAGTGTTCACACCTCTGCATAGCAAAAGGAGATGGGACTCCAAGGTGTTCCTGCCCTGTTCATTTGGTACTTCTACAGGACCTCTTAACGTGTGGAGGTAAGTAGTCTTAAGCAATAGCTTTCCATTCAGGAAGATTGGCAAACATTTTAAGCTTCGCAAGGCAGATGTATTTGTACTTCATGGTTCCAGAACAATTTTCTTCAGCTACTGCTCCCTAGAGGCAGCAGACAATGTGAGAATTATTTGAGTTAAACTCAGAGAGATCTGCAAGACCCTGTTTTGTGGGAAACCTTCACATTGCTTCACCGGTTCATGAACTCAATCCCTTGCCCTTGGCAGGCAGTATTTGCACCCAAATGAGATTTTGAGAGAAACTTAAATTCAGCAGGTAAATTTGACTACCATTTTTACATACATGGTACATACATTTTAGTATGTGCATTTTACTTTCTGTAACTGTGACAGTATAGTAACAACACCTGTAGTATAATATCTGTACTGTAGTGGGGAGGGAGTTTTATAAAAATCATAGTGAATCTAATGTACACTAACTAAAGCACAAGACTGCAATGCATTTTACTGGTTTCACGACTATGTTAATTGTTCCCACCAAAAACTATGTTGTGATGCTTTATTCACAAGGAAATGCTGTAAGAAAATGTCACTGTAGTGATGTCTAATTCAAAATTGTTTCTTAGGTTCTGTATTTCTGTGAAATAGAATAGAAAGTCAATGGAAAAAGATAACAGCAAGGGGCATTTTTATTTGTTTCCCCTTAGAACAAGTACAATCTAAAACTATTCCATCCAAAACAGACTGCATCCGGACCTAATATTAGATTGTCTGCTGGGGATTAGAACCTCTATTTTGTCTGGACTAAACCCCAGTTTTTTACTCCATATTGAGGAACTGCTCAAAATCACTCCATGAGTTGTCAACTAGACATGACTATGAGTTAGTTTTATTAACCAAGTGATCAAATTCAAACCATGAACCCTTGAGTGATCTCATCAATACATCATGTAGATGTTTGGAAACAGTGTTTCATACTGAGAGATTCTCTGTCAGTAGTTCCTTTGAACTTCTTCAAAGTGATGCAACTAGTCAAACATTCCAGGAAATGCTGTGATTGGAGTACTAAATACTACTGAGAGCAGCCCTGTTTGTAAATGACATCTACTCAGTGTTTCTTTTCCTGTTCTCCTTCCTTTCTCACTTTCCTTTGAGGATTTAAATAAAATAATCTACACAAGGCTATCCTTGTAATTTCTCAGTTTCATTCAAAACGGGGGATAATAAAATCACAGAAAAGAAGACTTTATAAAAGTATGCATTGCCCCAATCATCATTTAAAACATGCATAATATGCACAAAAAGATCCACACAAAGACAGTCTCCAAATTTGGGGTTATATGAACTGCTTTACTGCAGATTATGTGATCTAGTCTGTATTTCCTAACTGTCAATAAAGGAATCACAAGTAAATAAGAGAACCTGCTTGTAAGCCTCCCAAAGGCTTCTAGACAAGATGGGTGTCACATAAATCCAATACAAATATACATACATACATACATACATACATACATGTCTTTGAATTGTATTTAATGATTTAACTGTGAAGTATAAATTGCATGGAAACATTTTCTACTAACAACAGGACACTCTTGGATACATTGTGTTTTAATTAACTTGTTCTGTCTTCTAAAGTTGTAGACAGCTTCTAAAAAAACAAGAAGATTGACTTTAGAAACTGATCGCATCCATATGATGAAGGCCTTAATAGTTTATCATTTCCTTACAAAAGCTAATTCCATATAACATTAAGCTATAAGTCTCTGCTTGGAGTTTAGTTTCTGAATTTATATTTAACATTCCAAAAGTGTGGCTCCCATATATTTTACAAAAATCCTGAAAATGGTTACTTTGGGTGGATAAATAAAAGGCAATAGGAAATAGCATAATTGTGCTGTTATAATTACATACAAACGGCATTAAGTAGAACAGATATCTTGAAACTCAGCATTAAGAACTATGGTGCTATGTTTTTAGCTAAGAGTTTCCCTTATTTCAGTGTATATATACTGTTCGAATTTGTCCATTTTATTTCAATATATCTTTTCTTTTATGGAACAAAACATTTTTCAAAATATTTATAGCTATATTTTCTGTGAAAATAAACATCCCTTCTCATCAGGAAGGCTTTTTTCTCCCATCTTTGCAGCTTAAAGCTTCCCTTCTCAAGTTTATTTTGAAAATACTTCTTTCTCTTAAATGACACATTTGCTGTACTATGAGCTCTCCAGGGATCTCTTATAAATAGTTGCGGTCTCGCAACCACAACATGTTCTGTGGTATTGGAGTTTTACATCTATTCTATGGAGAAAGAAGGTCAGTTTACTGGCTCGTGTTTCTCCGTTTGTGAGAGATTCCTCATGACAAATGCACTCTTCTTATTGTATGCTGAATCTCACATTTACATACCATTCCTAATACAGTAATTTTATCTTTATCCTTGTCTTTTCTCCTAGCATCCTAGTTTGTAATCTTCAGTATCTCGAATTTGTCAGCCATCACTAATATACTTATATAGTCTTTCAGCAGTCACTCTATTCAGGTCCAAAATATTGAATCTGATACTTTATAGTGGACAAATTGTACCTATAAAGACGCAAAAAAAATGTGTAGGGGGGAATCCATTGTGAATTTTTTTTAAAGAATAATGATCCATGTGACTCACTGCATTCAATAAACCAGTTAATCCTTGTGTACAAGTTCAATTCTTTGGGGGGAGGGGGGGAAATACATTGTCTCACATCTGCTTTACCTATTGTGGATTTTCAACTCAAGCCTTAAAAATCGAGGGATCTAAGAAGGCCTTATAAGAGATCAAACAACGTCCTGGATTTAGGCATATAGAAGTACAAGAGCAGACATTCTTACCATTGTGAGACCTTTTTTCAAGAGGTGTAGAAGGGAAATAGAGTAAACTCTTTCAAGATCTCTGTGTGGAGAATATAGCTCAAAGCAGCATCACATGTTTCACTCAGTTGTCCGTTGTAGCATTCAAGGTACTCTGAATTAATATCACCCCTCTTTGAAAGTGATTAAATTAAATCCTTCTAGATGTCATATAGAAAAACATTTTTTTTTACTTATTAGCTGATAAATCCTCAGAAAAAAGGTGCAAAATGATGTTCTGTGATGATTGTTTTAAGGAAACTGTGTGTATATATAAGATCTTCTTACTCATATTAGAAATCAATTAACTAGACAGATTAATTGCAGCTGAAATTACAATTAATTTCAGTTAATTGTAATTTGTTTCATAAGAACTTTGATCTATCAAAAAAAAAACGTTTGATTGTTGTTATCAATTGACTTTTTTCACATTTTTTGTAAGTAGCTGTCAACATGCATTTTAACTTTGAATGGCAAGCTTCTTCATGAAAGGCAGATTTCAATATAGGGACATGAAGGAAAAGCTAGTTTACTTTTTAATTATGTAAATACAGTTTTCATTTCATTTATTGCAGTTATCGAATTATAGTGTTTATATTAATTACTTAATTGTAATTTAGACTGGATGTATGGTACATATGGCACTTATTTTTTTAAGCATTGAATTTGCTCCTTTTGGAACTAGTTTTCTAGACTAAATCGCAGAATGAAATTTGTTGTCTCTTAGAGACTGACAACATTTCCAAACATAGCCTCCAAATAATAGATTACAGATTTTCAATACATTCAGGGGGTTCTGCATATTTTATGTCTTATTGTAAAGGTGGGGGAGTTGCCTTGTCTGGGCAGAGTGATTGTTCAGACTGATTGAAATAAATATCATAATGTTACAGGATCTAGTATAAGGGCCTTGCAAAGATAAAACAGTGCATTCTTTGTTATAAATTATGTAATATTTTGAAGAGTTTCATGCAGTTCTTTAAAAACTTCTTTCAGAGCCACCAACCTGTTCCCCGGATCAGTTTACATGTGCAACTGGTGAGATTGATTGCATTCCCATGGCATGGCGTTGTGATGGCTTTTCAGAATGTGATGATCAGAGTGATGAAGAAAACTGCCCCATCTGCTCAACAACCCAGTTCCAATGTGAGAAGGGGCAATGCATCGATGCACATTTGAGATGTAATGGAGAAGTTGATTGCCAAGATAAATCTGATGAATCTTATTGTGAAAGTAAGAGCTGTATACTTTATCTTATGTTAGACACATACACATTGTTAGATTCAGCAACGAGGGAAGCAAATGGAACTATGCTTATACATATACGACTATAGATCTCAGCCTGGTCAAACAGGAGAGGTGATAGAAGGGCTGACCCAGTGCCTGGAAGCTGTCAACACCTGTATGAGAAGGGACAGTCTTAAAATGACCCCCTCCAAGACAGATTAGCTTTGAATTTCAAGGTCAAATGATGTTCACTATGAATGGAGTTGCACTCCCCTATTCAGAGATGGTTTGCAACTTGGAGGCTGGTAGGTGCGACCAAGAAAGCTTTTGTTTAATTGTATCTCATGCTCCCTCCAGTTGCAGTCTTTATGGTGGGGCCCTGCGTACAGTCACTTTACATAGGGCTGTCTTTGGAAACCATTTGGAAGCTATAAATGATACAAAATGCAGAGTCCTAGGCAGTGATGGGTACATTCCAATATTCTTGAATGGCTCGATTGTTTTAGGACTTGTGTTGGTTGCTGGTTGGCATCTGGATGCAATTCCAAGATTCTGGTTCTCATTTTCAAGGCCCTACATGATTCAGGACCAGATTATCTGAGGGCCTGTCTTTTCCCACATTGATCTGCTGTCCATTAAGATCAAATGAGGGTTGGTCCTCCAGATCCTGGTCCTGTCTTGGAATGCTACTGGATCAGACCTCAGTAGCCACCATTTTATATCAAATCTTCCAGACTTTGGCATGCCTTCCCTATGGAGATATTCTCTCTCACTCCTGATTTTCAGGAGACCAATTACGACTCTTTTCTTACCCCCACAAGTGCAAGGAGAGAATTTGAATTGTCTTGTACATTTTCTTCAATGTATAATTTTGATCATTTGCTTTATGGTGAATGGTTCATAAATCAAATGGGTTTTTGATGCTGTTGTTAAGGATGTTTCTTGCTCAGTTTGGAGTTATTATTAGCCACCCAGAGCCTTCCAGAAAAAGCAGCATATAAATAAAGCAAATGTAGCAAATTAATTAATCAAAAGTAACTGCCTATAGCAATAATTCATTATTGAGTTTTATTTTTATTCTTGGTAAATAAAACACCCATTCCAAAAGTAGAATAAAACATTCTGCTTATGCACTTTTACTTGGTTGCCAGGCCATCGTTGTCACATTCCTCATAACCTACTATTCTTTCTCCCCTGCCCCTACATTTTTTAAATTGTGTCCAAATTGGGTTGTTCATCCCTGTTTTAAAGGGTTTAGAGTAAACTCTACATTGACACTATGATAATTCATCCTCCCATATCTTTGGTGCTTAACGGAAGACTGAGAGTGGTTTGCATTTATGTTTTCTGCCAGATGCTTGATTTCAAAAGGACCAAGTATAATGTTTATTTGTGGTTCTTGGAGGCTTATAAAACAACTGCTGTCTTGAAGAAAGTGATGTGTTTATTATTTAGTTTATGTTTGGCTGAATTATCTTGACAGTATTAAAAATTGCTTGGTGCTTGTCTCCCATCTCATCCACCCCCTCACAGCTATTTGTCTCCAGAATCACTTTCAGTGTGCCAATGGCCAGTGTATTCTCAAAAAACAGCAGTGTGACTCCTTTCCGGACTGCATTGATGGTTCTGATGAACTTTTCTGTGACAAGACACTTTTTACCGGTAAGTTGGTATTGTAAAAGGCCTCCTATTGTTAATTATCTTTACACAATTTGTGTTGGGCGAACATTCCCAGAATTCCCAGCCAACTTACCCAACAGCTAGGAAATTCTGAAGCTTTTCAGCCCAATACAACTGGAAGCTATCAAGTTCATAAAGGCAAGTTTGGATCCAGGGATCACTGTTTATTCTCTGAGTCTAGAAAAGCAAATATAATTATTTACTATTGCCAACGCTTAATACTTCTGTCCTTGAAATGCAGTACTCTTCAATGGTGCTTTGCAGTTTTCAGAAAGCTGTTATTTTTCTTTCTTCAGATGTAGCCAAATCCACATCCTGTGAAAAAAAAACAACTGCGTAAAATAAAGCTATTATCAAAAGGTCAAAGCAGATGCAATTCCATCTTGTCCCCCTGGGCCTTCAGTGGCTGTTCAGATTGGCTTTAATCCCTGCATCATTTATGCTAACCATAAATGCCATTTTCTGACTGTAGATGGTTTGATAATAATTCTGTATTTTCAGCCCTAGGACCTCTGAATGTGTTGGGGTTGAGGGGAAAAATACTTAGAGATAGCAGCCCTCTGATGACCTGCAGAATGTTGCATTGAATTAGCTATTTTCCATTAGAGTGATTGCCATTGATAAATATGTGGCAATAGAGATCATTTTATACAGAAAAGACCCACAAGGGTCCTTGTAATAAAGTGCTACAGATTGCAAACTAGTCTAGCCTTCCCCAATTTGGTGCCTTCTAGATGCACTGGATTACAAGTCCAATTATCCTATAGTCAAGAAAAAAGACCGAAAATAATTTGGACTTATGTATTCCTTGGGTCAATTTAATATGGGAAAACCACAAGTTACCATGAGCCAGCTACCATCAAATCTGTCTAATGGAATTTGCATGGGAGTAAAATGAAGTAAACACTGAACAGTCTTTTGAACACTGAAAAGGACTATTGAAGTTATTAAGAGAACATGCATGGAATATTGATTCTATTTGAATGTTCCTTTCAATACATTAAAGCTTGGGGGCTCCTAAGTGATGTTAGATTGGTTCCAGGTTTAAGAAGACCTTTATCAATGTGTTATAGTTGGGTTGTAATCAAAGGTGACACATGGACTCTGTTAGTTGCCAAAGGTTGCTAAAGCAGACATTGTGAGACTGGAAAGTGTCGCTCTCAAACCAGGAAAGGTGATACAGTTGAGTATTCCACATCTTTCTTCCTTTGCACAGTGTTTCAGTGCAAAGGTATGTGTATGTGTCTTGCTAGTAAGCTTACTGAAAGCTTCATTTACTGTGAATTGTAAAAAGATGATAAAAGGAAGGCAACATCTGGTTTATTATACTAGAGAGCTGATACGAGATGACAGGAAAAAAAGAAATTTTATGCAGAAGGAGATGGAAGTAAACTTAATATTTATTTCTACAAACGTTAATACAAACATTTCTAATAGGCTCCTGTCCTTCATACTCTCATTATTTGCTGATCCTTCTCAACAAATGCTACCCTTTGACACTGCACACATTGTTAAAACTTCTTTTTGATGTTAATTTAAAATTAGTTGCTTTAGCCATTTGTACAGAACAATTGTGTGATTGCATGGTCATCTAGGATTGGAAGTACCAATCTGCACACAATTTGCAGTAGTGGACTATTGATAGATATAAACTTTGGAGACAAACCGGAAACCTTGGAATTGTTCCAACAGTGTTGCATTCTGTAGAGGAGAACCTTTTCAGCCAGAATCTACGACATCAAAGATGACAACTGAACTCTCCCCGACTGGTATCTCATATGTGAAAAATTACTTAGAATGTAAATCCCACCGGCCATGTCTGGGTTATGTTGTTAGTAATTGAAAATCTGTGCCAAAAAGGCCCTCTACTATTTTTATACCAACATTTGTAGGGCTGTTAAAAAGGAGGAGGTGGAGTTCTAATTTCTTTTATTTATTTATTTTTTCAGAAAAAATTAAATCTTCTGATGATTCTGGACCCCACAGTAATGCTATTGGGCCTGTGATTGGAATTATTCTTACCCTTTTTGTCATGGGAGGCATGTATTTTGTTTGCCAGCGTGTGGTTTGCCAACGTTACGCTGGGCCTAATGGACCTTTTCCACATGAATATGTCAGCGGGACCCCACACGTCCCGTTAAATTTCATTGCTCCAGGGAGTTCTCAGCATGGGACCTTTACAGGTAATAGTAACAGTGCCTCTATGAATTGCTATAATGTTCTTCAGATTTTGTTTTGTTTTTTGCTTTGCCACATGCTAAATAACAACTGGCTGTGGTTATATGATGATCTTCATTATATTGCTCCTGCTGTTGAATCTCCAGCCAAACTCCTATTTTAGAATCTTCGAAAATAGAATGAAGGGCAATATTTTGAAGTGGATTCTTGCTTTCTTTGGACTACTAGTGCTCAGAATTTGAGATCTTTTATTATTCTTTTAGCCATATCCTCTGCATGAATAGTGTGCTTTGAATAGGATTGTTTGTAGATCTGATGAAGAACTGTACGTATTATAGGATATGTATTGCTTGTGCAAAGATCTTTTAAATTCTAATATTTAAGAAAATATTCAAGTTTGTGTATAGGAAGGAATTCCTGCATTTCAGAATTTAAAAGGATTGCATTTTTTAAAGTGATAAAACCAAGAAAGATTCTGCAGTCCAGATGTCTTTTACCACAGTAATTGCTTTGGTAAATTTCAGTGAGTATATAATTGAATCCCAGGCTATTCTTATTTCTTTTATCCATATAGGCATCTCTTGTGGAAAATCCATGATTAGCTCCATGAGCCTGATGGGTGGAAGCAGTGGTGCCCCTCTTTATGACAGAAACCATGTCACTGGAGCTTCCTCTAGTAGTTCGTCTAGTACAAAAGCCACATTTTATCCACAGGTAAGTGTTGAAAATTGTATAAGCCATGTTGCAATTATGTTTTCAGTTCCTAATAGCTCTGCTTGCAGAGCACACTTAGCTAGATAATTGTTGAGGAGGGAGGGGCTGCTATCATGCAAACATGAAATTTGAATCAAACTTAAGGAAGTTAGATTGGGCTCAAAGACCCCCAGTTTCCTCTCAGTTGGCCATGACATGTCAATAACTGATGGGAGCTGGAGAACAGTTCTCTATTTCTCACACATACCCAACTTGAACATTTATATCTAAGAAAATGCACCTTTGATGGCACTCCTGGAAAGGACCACGGTAACATTGTGGAGAACTGCTATCCCTGCTTATCCTGGAGTTCCAAGTTATTTCATTGAAATAATTTGCTATAAAATGTATGCTGATTCCTTAATGTAATAATTAGCAGAACATTTATTTATTTATTTATTTATTTATTTATTTATTTATTTATTTATTTATTTATATAACTCTGAATGGTGGCACATTAATAGAATGGTCCCGTTGTTTTAGGAAAACATCTTGATTTGAAACAGATTCTCATAGAATGGTCTTTTAGAATAGATTATTACCCAAAGAAAGTACAGAAGGTCCTTTTCTTCTCAGGCATCTCAAATGATTTCATAGCTCCCATTGGACATTATTAAACTATTTCATTTTACATTCACACAGATTTTGAATCCACCACCTTCACCAGCTACAGATCGCTCCCTCTATAACACAGAAATGTTTTATTCTTCAAACATTCCATCAACAACAAGATCTTACAGGTAATGGCTTTCAAAATCATTTGGCAGATTCTTTAACACTTAGTTTTTAAATATCTGTTTCTTATTCTGCTTATATAGCAGCTTTGGATAAAGAATACTTTCTTTTTCTGATAAAACTGCTCCAGTTGTCAGCTTTGTACAGCTGGAGTGGTGGAATCTTCGAACTGGAAAGTAAGGTTTCGTGATTGGGCTTAACATGGACATGCGTTTTTAGACTGCTCAGAAAAACACGAGCACCAAAGACCCCAGTATGAGGGGTCCTTGGTGCTCTCTCTACTTGGTTGTTTCATTACCTAAGCTAGGTCATCAGTTCTAGTAAGGTGTGGAGTTTACTGTCATTTTATATTCTAGTGCTGTGATGCCATAGGTGCCATAGGTGGCACGCAGAGCCATTTGTGCCAGCACACGAGCTGCAAGCAAACTTACCTCACTGCGCATGTGCGTGCCTCATAGCTGATTTTTGGCCAGTTTGAGGCCTTTTTCGGCCTCCCAAAGGCTTGAGGAAGGCTTCTGCAGGCCTCTGCAAGCTTTGTAGGCTGAAAACTAGCCCTATTTAGTCACTTCCGGTATTTTCGGAAAAACAGGAAGTGATGAAACAGGGCTAGTTTTCAGCCTTCAAAGCTTGCAGAAGCCTTCCTCAAGCCTTTTGGAGGCCAAAAATCAGCTGTGAGGCACAGTGCAGGTAAGGGGCGTGGGTGGGGGATTACGCACACATGCGTAGGGGGCGTGGGGGGGCACCTTTTGGTTGCTGGCATGTGAGCGTGCAAGTGTGCACACAATTTTTGGCACAGGAGCCCAAAAAGGTTAGCCTCTACTGTTCTAGTGGCTTGCCCTGCCTATGTGGATGGAGGTCTTAGGGGTTCTTTGATTGGGCTGTTTACTGTTAGCTTCTTTGGCAGTTCCTTGAATGGGAAATATTGTTTATTTCTTGATTGTTAGTCTGATATTAATGTGGTGTTAATCTATGCTCATTTGGGTGTTGATTGCTGTTAGGGAGGTATTTGGGGGTCATTTTGTTCCCTTTTTGGCACTCTGATGATCTTGCACCCTATGTAGATGTTGTCTATTGTCTATTGATGGCTAATTGCTGCAGATAAAAAGAAGTGGAAAGTCTCCAACTTCTGTCCTTTCCCAGCCAGCAGAATTTTTCTACAATGCTACTAATGTGTATTTTGTATTTTAGGCCTTATCTTATCAGAGGGATTGCTCCACCAACTACCCCCTGCAGCACAGATGTATGTGACAGTGACTACACCACAAGCCGGTGGAAAGCCAACAAATACTACATCGACTTAAACTCAGACTCAGATCCTTATCCACCTCCTCCTACTCCTCGCAGCCAGTACATGTCAGCAGAGGAAAGCTGCCCACCGTCTCCAGCTACCGAGCGGAGCTACTTCCACCTCTACCCCCCTCCTCCATCTCCTTGTACAGACTCTTCATGATTTTAACAGAAGGGACTTGTCTTTTTCTGTAAATATGTTTTTTAAATATGAACAAAGATTTTAAATATATATTTTATGATCTAAAATGGGGTGGGAACTTATAAAAATGTGAATAAAAACGAATGGGCCTGGGCTGTGAAAATTGTACAGCAAAGTGATATTTATGTTGATCTTTTTTAATTTAATAATCCATTCTTTTGTGCCATAATTTGCCTTTGCATTGAAGTTGCAACATTTAAATTGACCTCCAAAGGAGGTGAAAAGCAGAAAATAATATGCTTGGAACATTTTGAAATCATCTTTTGGTTCAATAAAGGGGGAATGTGCTGAGTTATTTTTAAGTAATATAAAAGGCAAGAAGTAGTATGTATGAATGAATGATGATGAAATACACACCACAAGGGAAATTCTTGTGTATGTGTGTCTGTGTGTATGGATTAATACTTGATCCTAGGTACTTAACCACAAAAATGGGCTTCCTATGCTTTATTTTATTTTATTCCATCATTCACCTTTCAAATGAGTCAGTGCATTGAAAAAGTGAACATCTAGAATACATGTTAGATTTATTACATTATTCATCATGAACGACCTCCCCAAATTAAAATTTTCATTCACTCCTATTAGACGCATCACATTTCTATTATGAGTCTTATCAATTTCAAGGTGCACTGCTTCATGTTTTCTCTTCCTCTAAAGGCCTCCAGTACAGCTCAGGAGATTTGGAGGTGAGAAGGGAAGAAAGGAGGTGGTGCTCATGATAGAAATGAAAAGTGGAAAAAAAGAATGAATCGACTTTCTGAAAGATTAAAATAGTTTAGAAAAATGAAATCCCTCAAAGTTTCTTTTTCTCTCACATCCGGTAAAAATTTATGAAAATAAAAATCTATAAAAATTAAAAACAGTTTATAAAGAGTTCACTGAATAGCAAAACTATGTGCAATCTCCAAATTGATGCATTTGGATATTTCTTGAATAGACGTCTACCGAAGCCCCTGGTTTTCTCATTTTAAAACACAACATACACTGCCACCACATTTTCCACTGGGTAAGAATCCAAATTTTACCCTCTCTAACTTCCTATATATAATATTAGAGAGAGAGAGAGCTCAGGAATAAGGATCCGCATAATCAGATAGAATTCAGTAAAATATTATTTTATTTAGAACAAACCCCAGAAAGAAAGGTGCTTTTCATCACAGGTCAGGAAGAAGAAAATGAGCAATACGTCTTGCATTGCTGACTGTGCTTGTCCTTTGGTTTGATTGCTTCACACAGAATGTTTGAAAGCTTGTAGGATTAGGAGACTGTGATGTGAACAAATAATAAAATACATTGGAAAAAAAGGGGAAAGCCAAAATTACAGTATGTTTTAACAGCTGTATAACAGCAGGTGCAGCCGGCTTTTAACAGTCATAGAATCATTGACAAAGATAAAAAATGCTGTTTTTTTACATTTACAGCTGGATTTTAGCAAGTATTTCTGGCCAAGTGTGAGGTGAGATGCCTCCAATCCCTGGCCACTTCTTCCAAGCTTATTAATAAGATGGAGGTTGATCTCTGTTATTTTGAATATGTTCCCATCAGTCTATTCCTAATTGTTTGGATATGGTGGTTTAATTCTGAGGACGTGCAATTAGGATCTTTGAGTACAGGAGAATTTTGATTTCTCAAGAAACTTGTATTTTGTAGTCATCCATGCTTTACTTTTCAAGTTTAATATGGGCGATAAAAAATAGAATTATTTGTATGCAAAAATATCCTACCTGAATACTTTGGGGAGGTCAGAGTTATTTGGGTGTATTGCTTGTGTGTCTAGCACAAAAATAATCCATAATAATGAATCTAGAGTACTCAGCTCAAAAATCACAATATTCCGTACTAATTTTAAATCATAGTAATATACTTTAAAAAAAAAACAATCCTTAGTAACTCAAATTGGGTGGGAAGGTAATAAAGCCAGCTTCTTGTAATTCTAAGATTCCATTTCTAGCTTGGTTGCAGATAAAGCTTGTACGTGTGTGTGTGCACACATACACATACATAGTTGTCAAGAGATTTGCATCCACGAATTTGTTTTATAATTGCTTTTAACCTTTTGTCTAGCATTTATAAAAAGATACCCTTTAATTCTTAACATTGCATGCTTTGATTTACCATTGCCAGGTTTTTCTTGTCTAAAATGCACTGCACATGCACTGCACAAAATTTGAATGAATAGTTTATGTTTTAAAAGCAAAGTAAACAGCTATTGGTAATATTAACCTGCTTGCTGAAAAAATTGTACTGTATTCAGTGGTGAATTGGATACTTTAAGCTATGAAAAAAATAACTAATGCTACTGATGTGAACAGAGTACTATAATACTTATGGCTAGAATATTGAATATTTTTATTTTGCTTGCTTATTGTAAATCTATGTTAATCAGGAAAATTAAATATTCTGCTTTCTTGATTAACATGTTAATGGGGAAACATCCCACCAAATTCACATAAATTATCAAAACTGTACAACTGGAGTTGTTGAAGAATTGAGTGAAGTCAGAAATACCTTACCAAGAAATAATTGTCACATTTTCATTACTTTAAATTATTTATCTCTCTGATCCATAATTTTTGCTAAAATATCTGATTTCAATAGTACTCTGGCCTATGATATTGTCCATTTCTTTTTTGACATAGGTAGGTCTCAATGAATCACATAAAAAACTACACTGTGAGCTTGGTTGTTTGGAGACAATTCATTACCAAGGAGAAAACCACATTCCCACCAACATTGGCAGGGCAAGCTATTGTATATAAACAGAAAGCAAACCCCACACTAGCACTGATGATAATATCTAGTCTGATAATGAAACATCTACAAGTAAACAATCATGCTCAGAGAGCACAAAGGACTTCACAATTCAATTAATTTCTGTTGGAAAAAAGATACAGTTTACCAAATCATGAATCTGTGCTGATATTGGTTCTAATTTTAACAAGCTAATTTGAAATGATACCATGCAAACTGTTGATAGTAATTTTGGCTTTCAAGAGCCCTTCTAATCTGGAATCATTGGCCATGTTGCCAGAGAGTTACAAATGATATCAAACTGGGGATGGCTAGCAAACTGACATGCTTTGGATCTCATTTTTTAAAGCCATTGTTTGCTTAACTGTGATTGAATAAACTACAGTTGCTAGGTTTATGCTAGGCCTGAACCAAATCATATTATGACTTAGCCCCATAAATATGAACCCTACCTTTATATTCTAAATACAATACATGTATGTAAATGTAACTGATTGGCTTTATTAAAATTTAAGGAGCAAGTAACTTGTTCGGGTCTAGCCACAGTGCAATGTCAAAGGTTAACTTTCTTATATTGGTTTTCCATTGGTTAATGGCTGTGTGTAGTATGTCACTATTCTAGGGAAATTGTTTTGAATATTTTAACCCTTCAAAAGTGATTATTAATCTTGTGATATGTTAAGTAGCATATCTCTTCCAGCCAGACTGGGTTTTACTGTGTAGAAAGACATCAGATTGGATGCCTAATCCATGCAACTGTTTGTTTGGGTCCACTTAGATCCATCTTCATGAACATTAATTTTTAGAATCCATAATTCACTGAAAGTAGTTATTGATCTGGACCTGAGAGTGAGCTTGCTCTTAGCAATTAGGACAACTAAGGCTTTTTGAAAGGAAATACTGGTCTTAACATACAACATACCAAAAGCCTTCATCTGAAAAGTATTTAAAGCACCTTTAGTTATGGAGCTCAGTTCCCTGGAAGTTTCCTTTGCCAATTTTAGGTGTGAATGTAAATGAGTGGGATATTGGATGGAAAGCAGAGTGTGGTGTCAAATTTAATTTGTAAAATAATATTTGTTGAAAATATTTTGTAAATAATGTAATTGAGCTATTTGCAATTAGAGGGGAAACACTCGATTTTATTAAATAATGAATAAGAACTATTGGGCCTGGATTAAAATGGAGCAAAATTAGTCTTGCCAAGCTACAAACCTGTGACTCCTCCTTTATTTTTGAGCCTACTGAGCTCAGCTAGAGGAAAAGTCAGCTAACAGCTTTTCCAACTTCTTTTTTTCCCCTCCTCAGGGCCTATTGTATATATACTTTTTGTGTTGTGGAATACATATTTCACTACTCACATTAAATCATAGATTCTTTAATAAACCATACGTGGCTGATTTTACAGAACATTAAGCTATAAACTATTATTTAACAAATCACAATGGTTCACCCACTGCAATAGATCAAACCCAATCATGTTATGGGCTATTGCAATATGTGAACTTTCCCACAGGATCTTCTTGGTCATTGCACTAAGAATGGGGGAAGCAGAATAACCAATTATGGAAAAGTGAAGAGGGGCGGAAGAACAGGAGAAGCAGTAGCTGGCTCACCCCCAGTTTGGTGGGAACATGAAAGGGGAGGATCATTGGATGCAACCTGGCAATTTACATTTTTAAGTGGGTTGTGTTTTACTGTTATATACATAACTCGGAGGGCATTCTAATTAGAAATGAAACCCAGGCTGCTTTCTTTATTGTATCTAAGTATTTTGCAGTTGCTGCTAATGTAATGTAAATGTACATGAAAATATGCAGATATTGCCAAGAATTGTTATAATAGACTCATGCTGATCTGTTTTATATTTATATTGTAAAGTGTATTCTGCAAACCTCCTAAATATTTTAGCTTTATATTCATATACCGTTTTGTAGACACAGTTTTGTCGCACAGAGAAAAAGTGCCTTTGGTCTTTTTAAACAGCCTATCATATTGACTTGGGCAGATGATAACAAAGCCTTAAAAATGAAGCAACCTTTTACTCATTTGCTCCATTTGTTAGTTTTTCATCCAGCATGGTGTTGCAAATACGTATTGTGTTCAACTCATTCCAAGATAAGGCATTCACAAGATGGTGGGACTAAGCTTGTTTGTATATGTTAATGAAACATCACTAATTATGTGATTTTACAGAGAGTTGTGCTTGGTTTTTTTTAAAAAGAAAATATTTCAGAGAAAACTGGGAGTTTTTTACCCAGAAATTACAAAATTGGGAGTTTTAAGACACCCAATGTGCTCCTTTTCATTTCACTGTTTATATTTTATGGATGCTAAATATGCTATTGGTATAAATTTTTGTAAAATTATGTAACAAAATCTCTGTTATTAAATTAGATTAATGTACTTTCCTAAGGACTGGAATTCCATTTAATTTTTGCTACAATAATATTGATTAGCACAAGCTTTACCAAAATCATTATTTTGAATATTAATTGGGCAGCTGAAAATAGCCTTTTTTCATATTAATGTCCAATATACACTACAATATGCAAAAGCCCCTTTTCCAACAATAAAACAGAGCCCAATACTTGTTTGTCTTTTTAATTTTACTGTTGTGAAAAAAGCATATTTTTAATATTCTGGGAATCAAATATCTATATAACTTTGAGTCATACACTTTAAAAAGAAGACATTTTTGACGTTGCAACCTGTAGTTCCATGTAATCAACACTAGGCTTTTATTTTGGCTTCATTGTAAAATATCTAAACAAATGAGAATGAGGTGTGAGGTTTTAAATTTTAATTTAAATGTCTTGCTTTTAGAACTACATTTTAGCAACTTAGATCCATTGCTTTCCAGTTTTATGCTTCTGAAGTTTAGATATAATGAAAGTGTAGGAATATGCTACATAAGCAGAAAGATGTACTGAAAGTAATATTTATTCGTTTCTGGAAAATATTTTATAGCTTTTACATTCCAGTTATATACATAGACTCTCAGCAATTTGCATTGTGGTGCCCACTCCTTATATGTAACACCTAAGTTTTTGGAATCACCTCCAAATTATGAAGGATATTTGTAACGAATAGTATCCTTTGCTGCAGCTCAGAACTGATCCAGAAAATGCATTCCTTAAATTATTATTTTTTCCTTTTTTATTTTTAGTTGTGCCTTTGAGTCAGCAGTGACTCTTAGCAATTGCCCGGATGAGTCCCTGCAGTTTTCTTGGCAAAGTTTTTTGGAAGTGGCTTGCCATCGCCTCCTACCTGGGGCTGAGAGAATGACTGGCTCAAGGTCACCCAGATGGCTTCGTGCCTAAAGCAGGATTAGAGCTCACAGTCTCCTGGTTTCTAATGTGCTGCCTTAAGCACTACGCCAAATTGCCTGCTTTAACTAACACATGGTGCTTAATTTTTCTTTGTGTACAATTAGAGTACAATTAGAACCACCAAGAAATATTTTTAAATTTTATTTATGAGATTTATATTCCACCTTTACTTGTACAACTCAAGACATACATAATATTCCTTCATACTATCTACAACAGAGGTCTCCAAACTTGGCAACTTTAAGACTTGTGGACTTCAATTTCCAGAAATTGAAGTCCACAAGTCTTAAAGTTGCCAAGTTTGGGGACCCCGATATACAACAACAACTCAGGTCCACGGTCAGTCACCCAGCTTCTGTGCCTGAAGGAAGACTAGCAGTCTTTTTGTTTCACATCAAGCAAATTTAATACAATTTACTGAATATTGAACATTTTAAAATAGTTTTTGGAAAGCCTTAAAGCCATTCTCCAGAAAATGTATACATTATTATTACCTTCTGCTACTGGAGAAGATACGTGTTACGCAGCCTCTGAGTCTAAATAGTTCGTGTTCAGTGTATTTACAATTGAAAACAGATTCTAGACACTAATTATAAATTGCTAGGATGGGGTTTATGAATAACCAGAATAACTTTTCCGTGTTCAAAGAATTATATGGGAAGTTTTGTGAAAATGAGCAGTGATTCTTAGATAAGTAAATAAAAAATTATTTCCTTCCTGTGTTTTACAGAATGACAACATAAATTCTTCTTACTCCAGGCTGCTGAGTTCTGCTGATTTTAGGTAGTCATCTGTCACCCCAAATGACAAATAGGAAATGGTTGCTTAATATACTGTATGTATAAAACCACACAGTGGTTTCCATTACTGTAGCTTCTTACTACCTTTTACTACCTTTCCTAATCCAGATTATTATTTACCTCCTGGCCATTCTGTTTCATCAACTGAGGTAGTATCTATATACCTATACATTGAGTGCTTTTAACCTGGTCTCCAGTGCTGGGAATGAATGGCAAGTGTAAGTGTGGGCAACCACCTTGTCTTGAATTTGGACTGGCAGAGATGGACAACTTCTGATGGATCAGAGCTGCAGGTGGCCAATTGGCAATGTGGTAATTTAATCAGAAGTGGCAAGCGAGAAACAATATTGGCCGATGGAGGGTGGGTTAAGGGTAGGGAAAAAAATCAAGAGGTGAGACAAACCTCTTTCATTTACAGAAGAACTTCTGGTCATGAACACTTCTGACCATGACTAAATCGAGTTCCAACCAAAAAATTCACATTTTTTTTCCCCACGGCCTATTTCCCTTTGCGTGTCATTTTTTTTTTTTTATATGCGCCAAATTTCCAAAACTAGGTTTGGGTCATGACCAAATCAGGTTGCGCCCAAAGTTATGGAACGAATTATGGTCATGAACATAGGTTCTACTGTATATTATTTTAAAAAGAAACAACCCTCCCAGTATGGTCTGATATTTAGAAGGATCACTTGGAGCCTCTGGATTGATATTTGAAGGACAGAAGGTCCTACCTTTATTTTTGCAAACAAAGAAAAAAAGTGCTATTAAAAACTGGCCATTTTTGCAGCCAAATTCCAGTAATCTGAACAGATTGGACTGCTGTGGATGGGGGGGTGAGGGGTCCGATGGGGGCAAATACAGGTTCTATTGACTTGATAAAGAAGATTAAAGATTCTGCTTTTTAAAAACAGTATTTTGGCTTCTTTCTGTCAGGAAAGGGATGGTTTGCCAAGCCAGTACTTTCTATGGCCATCCAGATTCAAGATTCATCATTTTGCTATGCTCTATTTGTTCCAATTACAGGAATGGCTGTACTTGATTAGCCAATAGGTTATTTTAAAAGTCAAATGTTTTCTGAAAATGAATGTACCCTTAAAACTCTCATCCCCTTTGCAAATTTTGGTTGTTTTTCTTTCACCTCTCATGTTAAGCTAGGCTATTGGCTAGATATGTTTTGTTTGCAGGTTGTAGCTCTTTTCTGTGCCATTTTATGGTATCTGGAAATCATTTTACTTGAGCGTGCCTTTTATCAGGAAACCTGCCAGTGTCTGTTCTGACCGTTGCCTGCAGACAGCCAAACTCTTTGGAACTGCCTGTTCTGCCTCGATCCAAGCATCCATTTTGGGTTTATCCTGTTCTTCCCAGGAAAAACAACTACTGAAGAAAAAAACTTCAGATCATCTGCAGCTCCTTCAGAGACCACGCTGTGTATACATGGCAGTGAAAAACTTATGATAGTGCTTTCTAATGAAAGCCATCTGAATTGTAATGTACAGCTAATCATTTGCTTTAATTTGCCAGCTGTTCTGCTGCCACCCTGATGTATTCATTAAATGTAGCTCCCATCACCCATATCTAAGATGGTCCTGGGTCAGTTTGGCTGGAAAGGTAGGCCAGCCCATAGGGAAAGTGTCATGCTGCAAAACCCCACTGAAGGGTTTGTGCAATCAGATTTACCTTCTTTTTTTACAAAAAAAGATCTTTAGTTCCTTAACATAGAGGGCTCCCATACATCTGTAATTTTCTTCTGCTGGGAAATGACATATTTCTGCTGCACAAGCCACAGCATTTTGCTCTATTGCTCCCTGCCCCACAAAGATTTTCACTGTATTCTGTTTTATGGGTTGTTATTGATATACACATATTAAATGCTTCTAGCATTGTTGAGGATTCTTGTATCTACAGAAACTCTTTTCGGTTTTTTATTTGTGTTCAAATGCTTAATTGTGGGTGCTTTGGAGATGGAATTCTCTGCACAGTTTATTTGTGAAGGGTCTACTCTTTTTAAGCACTCAAGCAGTATTTAACATATCCACCCAGTACCCTTTTTTTCAAAAGTTGCAGTTTTCCAAAAAAGATGAACACTGTATGTGTCTGTCACAACATAGAATATCACAGTTCCATAAAATGCTGTGTATTTGTAGAAAGGCTGCACGCACATTCATACACAAAAGTGCTTCAGGGATCTGTTTTACAGGAAAGTTTTCAATAAGGTCTCAGATTATAGCCATAAATTATAAAAAAAATATATGTGGTACCAATTGAAAAGGCAACAGAATCTGGAATAGAACCTAACATTACATAGTTTAAGATAAGTTAGCTTTCATCAAAACTAAACTGTGAGAACAATTTGTTGAACAGAACAAATTTAATGAGATATTTCTGGTTAATGCATGTGACATTTGGATCCTAATTCATATCCTACAAAAATATTCATTTCCTCAGCACAGTGTGAACTGAAATTTGGAAAATAACTTTGGAGAATAATTTTATTCTCCCTTGGAGAATAAGCTGGCTATAAGCAAATAAATTTGTCTTCTTTCTGCCTCATTTAAACAAATAGGTGTCTTATTTTTATAACAGTAAATTTTCCTGTTTGTGACATCCAAATTCCATTACAAGAAAACTTTTTACTTCTGAAATCTGAAATAAAGCCAACATAACAGTAACTAAATACAGCTATGTAGAATCCTAAACTACAAGCTTAAAAGCAATTGCAGATATGAAATTAAATTATTTTAATTTTCAAATATCCCCTAAAAGATTAAATACATTTGGTTTAACCTCCTAATTTTACAGAAAAAGTCCAAAATGCTATTTACAGGCCCATACAGTGCATAAAATTAGTCTCTACTGATTTAAAACAAAGCCTTAGAACAGGGTGATCAGCATAAAATTGACAGACAAGAAAGAAAGGCTTCAGTTTAGCTAGGTTGATTTCAGTAGTCACTCTTTTTTGGCAGACTGGCAACCATCTATCATCTTGAGAGGCTCAGAATTCAAGTTTACATTTTTGTGAGATTTGTTTTTCCAGACTCAGGTGTTTTTCTAATTTGTGAAATGATTGAAGCCAGACTTTTTATAAAGCAAATGAGAAGTCAGTAGGTATTCTCCTGTTTCCTAAATGTGGAGTGTCAGTTTCTTTTGATGAATTAACCAGGCATAAATAACAAGAGGCCACTGTAGCCTATTCCTGGATTCTGTATTTAGACAAGTGTTTATTGTAGAAACATATTCTCCATGCTTTCCATAAGTCCAAGCCACAGATTCTTTCATTGGGCAGATGTCTAGTACACATCAATAACAATTTGGTATGGTTGAGTATGGGAACAAGAAGGTTCATCATTTGCAGGCTACATTCATCTAAATGAAATTTCTTTCTTTCAGGCCTGTCAAACTGGCGGCCCATGGGCTGGATACCTCACTTGCAGGCCGTGCCTACCCCTGCTCCCCAAAGGCAA